ACAGTATGAAGTAGCAATATGAAGTAAAGTCCTTGTGATGATTTTCAGGCTTTTTCTTGCAATCATTAGTGAAAAGATATCTTCTCTGTCACAACCCAGTAGATAGTCTTAAAGAGACACACAATATTTATCCAAACAAAAAATGCATAATCTTTAGTCTTTTGTGCTAACAGTACTTAGCTTATGTTATTCACTATATTTCAGTTCTCTTAAAAACTAATTTAACATATGAACACCTGTGCCTCACACCTGTAATCCTAGCTACTTTGAAGGCTGCGATCTAAAGATCTCAGTTTGAAGCCAGCCAGGGCAGGAAAATTGATGAGACTCATCTCTAACTAATCACCTAAGTTGGAAATGGATCTGTGGCTCAAATGGTAGAGCACTAGCCTTGAGCTGAAAAAGTTCAAGGAAAGCTCCCAGGTCCTGAATTCAAGCCCAGGACTGTAAAAACAAACAACTTTACCACCCAATCATGAGCTAGTACCACAGTTTGAAGACCACTGGGCAAGAGAGTATGTTTTTGATCTTTTTCTTGGAGTTGGTTTATCTCAGGTTGGCTTGCATGGAACAGCTTCACATGTATATATAAATGATTCTTTGGCCTTGTATGATACCCAAGTTGCTTTGTAGAAGAACCTGGGAAGTTTATATTAGACCCACCTGAAGTTTGTATTTTAACCTTGCTTCTTGCCAGGCTTTTATTTTGATTTTTACCAATTTGTTAGGCTTTTCTGTAAGTATTCATAGAATCTACATTTCTGATAATGTGCTGATATCAATATTGCAGGTACTCCAAAGTTGTGTATTGAGGCATGAATAGTAAGAAAAGAAAAAAAAACAGGTATGAACCTCAAAGGTGGGGTAGTAATAAGTAGTTAATGTGAAAGCATCCAGAAAGATGCTTGCACATTAGGATAAGTTCAGTGAATAAGATAATGACTCTGCATAAAGCAGAGGGATCCTACTTGATATAGAGTGTTAGAAAAGTCTTCTGTAAGAAGTAACACTTGAGCTGAGACTTGAAAGATTAATAGCATGGAATCACTACACAGAGACACAGAGTGTATCACCTGGCTTATAAGGCTGCAGATGGATTAAACAATTAATTAGGCATGGAAGGAAAACTTTTCAAAGGTAAAGCTGGGAAGATAAATAGGGATAGAACAAACAGGCTCCTATAAACAAACCCTGGAAAGGAGATAGATAGCTTTTGGAGGCTGGATAATATGATCAAATTCACCTTTAAAAAAAAAACTGAAATGTGGACAATGCACTGGAGAGTTCCAAGATGAGAGAGCTAGGGAGAGGTAGGGAGGTATGGTGGGAGGGGTGGGGGGGAGGTGAATTTGCTGTTGTATTTACCTGGGTCAAAGGTATTAGGGAGGGTCTGAGAAGGTGGCTCAGTGGTAGAGTGCTTGCCTTGCATGCATGAGGCCCTGGGTTCGATTCCTCAGCACATAAGCAGAAAAAGCCGGAAGTGGGACTGAGGCTCAAGTGGTAGAGTGCTAGCCTTGAGCTGAAGAGCTGAGGGACAGCACCCAGGACCAGAGTTCAGGACCCACGACCAGAAAAAAACAAAACAAAACAAAAAGGTGCTAGGGAGAGGATCAGGCTGGTGGTTTTTGTTAGTCATCTCCTTTCTTACTTGAGCACCTTTTGAAATAAATTTCACAAGCACTGGGACCTGACCTATTCATTTGAGAGCTGTCAACTGAGAAATAAATAAACCATAGTATGACATGCTAAGAAAAAGTACAGAAGTAGTACTTCTGTAATAAATTGCAATAAATTGCTGAGGCCTTAAAATCAGATTATGATATGATATGTTCAGGTTTATTACCAAATTGTATCATGCCTACTTTAATTTAAATTTTATTGTAAAGGTGATGCAGAGATGGGTTTCAGTTATGTAAGTCAGGTAATGAGTACATTTCTTTTTGAACAGTTTTTTTTTTCTCCCAGTTTTTCCCCTCCCGACCTGCCCACTTACTTTTTATTATACATGAATCCTGGAAAACAAAATATTCATATTCTCTCCCTCTATGAGTTAAGAATTTGAGAGAAAGGGATTCATGTGCATGTGCTGAATAAGAAAGATGATTTTTAAGGGGTAAACTTGCTTTCTGATTTTTATTTATACTAGCTAAGGGAAGCATGTTGCTTCATGCCTTGGTCTCTTCTCTCTTTGATTAATAAATTTCCTGCCTGTATGAGCATGTTATCCTGGTAAAGCAGACATCTTGATTCTTTTGCCTCATTCAGGCTGACTTTAATGCAACCACTTTCTTTGGCTTGAATTAATGCAAGGCAGGTGCTGGTAGCTCACATTTCTAATTTCAAGTCCTCTGGAGGCTGAAATCGGAGGACTGCAGTTTGAAGCCAGCCTGGGTAGGAAAATCTTGAGACTCTTAACTCCAATTAACTACTATACAGTCAGAAATCGAGCTGTTGCTCAAGTAGTGGAGTGCCAGTTTTGAGTGAGACAGTGCATAGGCCCTGAGCTCAAGCCCGAGTGGCCCAGTACCAGTACTCTTGCCCCCATACACATATACACATACCCTAAAGAACTTAGTGTAATAATGGGTGAAGAATCCTCCAGTCTGTCACCAGATTTCTGACCTATGCCTGGAGTTTCAGACAGTTAAGAACAGATAGTAAAATGGGTCTTTTCCCCATGCTAACCAAGGCTGAGTGAAACGTTTTACTCAGCCTTAATCCTCATCATTCCAACTCATCCCAAAAGGCCTTGCTCACATTCCATGAGCAAGCCTGCTTTCTGCTACATTAGCTGGGAGGTCCCAGGCATGGTTACATGTTTTTTTTTTCTCAAAATACTGGTAAACTATATAATTAATAATTTATACTGGTGCAATTGGAAGGACTGAGAACCGAAGTGCTGAGACTCAGAAACTTTCCAGGTGCCCATTAAGCCAATAGCAGAGGTGACCCACCCATTATTTCCTGAAAGACAATGTGAAGTATAGGGATCAGAAATTTTACAAGGCTCTTCCTGAATTTCTCTCTAAATTCCCCCAAGAACTTAATTTCTGACATCTTCTGTGTGAATCAGTCCTCAGTGATAAACAAAATTGTGTTTATTGAACCAGTGACTATTAGGGACCATTAGTCTTCATTATTTTACAACCTCCCCTGATGAATGCTTCATTGAATTTCCTGCTCTTGGTTTTGATTCTAAGTCCCTTCCTTCTTCTTTAGTACAGCGATAATTACAAGGAAGAAAATGTACGGAGCACGGCTGTTCCATCACTGATCTACAGTCATTTCCTAAGCGGGGATTTTAGCATTGAGACTTAATATGCATCCCTGGGTACTGCTTTCAGGCACTTAGTTCTTTAATGCAAATAAACTTCCAAATGCCATTTCGGTGACATTACATTAAAAAGAGTCGTCAAGCAGTGTTGATACAGAGAACTTTATTATGACTAAAAATCATGTCTGTGATTTGAGCAAATCAAAACCAAATCTCCACCGTAGGAAAATGTATTTCATGGAGACTCAGCACAGACCAGAGTCCAAATGTGCTCTTTGTGTTCCATTGCCTCTTCCAATCCCTCAACTGCATGCTCCTTGAGTGGGAAAGCCATATCTGATCACAGAGCCTGCCTCAAACCCACCTGTGACTCCCCAGTGTCTGCAGATTTTTGAATAAGTGCCTTTCCCCTAGACTCAAGCTTCTCTATCAATCTGCTAGTCCAGTCAATCCAAATGTTTCTCTCCCAACAAGATTGCCTCCTACATCTGTGCATGTATATATATATATATATACTATATATATACTATATATAAAAGTATATATAGTATATATAACCTATATATAGTATATATAACCTATATATAGTATATATATACTATATATATATATATATATATATATATATATATACTATGTTTCTCTTTTAAATTGCATTTTTGTACCGGAGAATGTTTTGGCTCCATGCCATTTGTTAGGATTTGGCCTCGTGCACGTCACTTAGATTTCATTGTGCTTCCACGTCCTTGTGTGAGAATGGGGGTGACTTTGGGAGGCCCCCTGGGACACGTTGAAGAGTGCTTCACCAGCAATATCAGATACCAAATATCTAATATCAAATAGGAACTTTTGTTTTTCAGTTACTGTTATCACCATCCTCTGAATTTTAGCTCAGGCTTTATCTTTGGTGAAATACTTTCCTACCTTATTATTCCAAGACTGAGAGAATATTTCTTTGTACTGGTTACTTTGGTTTTGGGTTTGAACTCAGGGATTCACATTTGCTAAGCAGACACTGATGTAGAGCCACCTCTTTACGCCCTCTTGCTTTGGTTATTTTTAAGATAGGGTCTCACTTTTTTGCTCCGGCCAGACTAGACCATGATCCTCCTATTTATGACTCTCTTAATACCTAGGATGGCTAACAGATGCATGCCACCTTACTCAGCTATTATTTGAGATGGGGTTTCATGAACTTTTTAGCCCCACCTGTTCATGAACTGTGATCTTCCCTGCCTCAACCTCATGAGTAGCTAAGATTATAGGAATGAGCCATAGCACTTACTTCTTTATTACCTTTTTAACATCTTTTAAAAAATTCTTGATATGGGATTAGAGAATAGTTCAAGGTGGTGCAAAACATTTTTAATGGGCCTCCTGTCACTATGATTATGATATGAATAAGCAATGAATAAATAGAGAGCTTCTGATTCCTTGGGCTTTATAGTAATGCGAGCCCATCACAAACGAGTGTTTATTGTACATTAAGCCAGACGATAAATATAAACATCCATTTTTTCCTCATTAGGATCAACTGTAATAGCTACCCTAACATTTCCATTTTACACATGAGGAAACTGAATACTCAAAGTCAGATAGCTTGTGATAGATCATTTACTCCCAAAGTTTCAGCTCTTAGCTCAAGAGCATACTGTTTTGATCTGTGAGGTCTCATACTCCTGAATGGTAAATGCACTGGATACTGACTTTATTAATGTGGTTCCAGGTATTCTTTCCAAGATGAAGAAGACATGTTCATGGTGGTGGACCTCCTCCTTGGTGGGGACCTGCGTTACCACTTGCAACAGAACGTTCGCTTTGAGGAAGACACAGTGAAGCTGTTCATCTGTGAGCTGGCCATGGCCCTGGATTACCTGCAGGGCCAGCGCATCATTCACAGGTCAGCCGAACCCAAGGAGATTTGAACTAAGCTTTGAACTGCATGCACAGGAGAGCATTCCTTTCCTTGTTGAGCATAGCATTTAATGCTCATTTGAATTTTACAACCTCCCAAGTTAGGCTGATCATTCCCATTTTTCAGACTATAGTAAAAAAAAAAAAAGAGCACATAGATCTTAAGGTCACCATAAATGATAAATCAACCACCACTGGTACTTTGTTATAACTAGGCCAAGACAAAGATGGGGAGAGATGTCATGTGGAAATGAAATACCAAATGAAGTAATTGAGATAGAAATGAGGGAGGTACATGGATAGGAAAATATAGGATAAGAAAAAAGAAAGAAATTTCCTTGGGGAGAAAATTTGAGTCTCTGTGGTATTTTTCTATAATGCTGTCTATATCAAATGTATTCCTAATGCACATGCTGCAATTCAAAGCAACAAAAGCAGTATGCATTGTGTACTTGAGCCATCTAAAGCAAAAAGACACACCAACAATTCAGGAAGCTGTAAACCCTTAGGTCCAAAAGAGAGAAAAGGCCACCACTTGCAATTGTAAAGAAATGGGTAATTTCAATGGTGGTTTCACACATATGATCTCATTTGAACTCTAATATCCCCTGTCATTAATGTTCAGAACAGATATAGCTAGATCAGTACTAAAGTTAAGGAAACATGGTTTGTAGACATTGAATTATTACCCAACATTATGATCCTAATTAACATCAAAACAGCTACTATTGATTAGGGCTTAGGTACTTTACAGATGTTAGCTAACTACATCCTCAAGCTTAACAATGAGTCTACATTTCATTACAGTGTTCCTATATATCAGATAACGGAGCTGTAGCTCAAAGACAAACACTTAATGAGTGATATTGCAAGAATTTAAACCTACATTCTTCAGACCTGTAAATCAGTTTCGTTATGTCAGTTTACATTAATTATACATACAAAATATAAGCAGCAATGCAATATCATTCAATAAAATCAGCACACATAATTATGCCACTGTCAGCTCTAATCTTTGAAGAATTCATTGAGACTTTAAGCACAATTATGGCTCATTAAATAGATATTTGGGTAGATAAACTACTTGGCCACTACTAGTTGACATTTATTTGGATTAGTAAAGAGGCTCTGGATGAAGAGGTATGTCATAACTTGGAGATTCTCTATACAGGCACCAAGAACCACACAGCCAACTTTTTTTTTTTGCATTAATGGTATTTAACTTTCCATCTTTGGAGAGTTTGTTTGTGTTGGAAACATGCTCATCATGCAGTAGTTAAATGGCAAGCACATCAATTAATCCTGTAGGATCTTGAAAATGAATGTATACACCTGGTGTTTTATTAATAAATGGAAACCCCATTTTCAGGCACTCTTTCTCCTGTATTGACCTGGTTCTTCAAATGTCTTATGAGAAGTTCCTTATGTCTGCAGTCTGTGGGATCCCTTCAGAATGGGCACACATGTTCATTGTTCCCCAAGTTGCTGACGATAGAGACACCAGATTGCAGATAGTTGCAATGAAAAGCCATTATGGCCTCCGAATGCCTTCTGACTATTCTTTTCTATTTGAATGTATACTTTCTTGTATTAGGCTTTATTTGCATCACAAATCAAAATACTGTGAACATTCTTGCCTGGTACTTAAAATTCTATTCCAAGAGGAGTTTAGAAGAATGTCCCCTTGTGATCCTCAATAACATATTATTTTTCTGTTCTCTCCCTCATGCTTCATTATGCCATCATCTTTTGCCACTTACATCAGAAGCCAATGATGAACATTCTGTTTTTTGAAGTTGACACATCCTCATTATTATTGTCTATTTCCAGAGAAGCTTTTTGGGATGAAATTTCTCCTGATCTGGCCGATGAATGGTGGCAATCACAGTAATGTTCTGAATGCTGTGTTAAATTGAGGTGTCATCCTTCTGGGGCTAGAAAACAATTCAGATGTGTTGCTCTTGCCTGTGGTACCCACCCTACCTCCCATGAGTTGTATTTCATAGGCTGTCATAACATCTTGGGCTACTCCTGAGGAGTTCTGACAGCTTCAGTGCACAGCTACTTAATTTGTGTCCTCAATTTCATTGTATATGCCACAAGTCAGGGCCACTTTTGTTTTGCTTCTCATTGTGTTGCCTGTATGTGACAGAAGTATGAAGGAATGAATATGGTCAAGCCTTGTGAATGACTGTTTAGAGGCTTGGAATCACAAACAATAAAGACAGCAGGGCAAAGTAGAGAATAAGGGATGAATAACCTAGAAGTATATGTATGTATTAAACCAATTTAAAACTTAAAAAGATAGAGGAGGACTGGGAAGGTGGCTCAGTGGTATAGCGTTTGCCTTGCATGCATGAGGCCCTGAGTTCGATGCTTAAGCACCACATAAGCAGAAAAACCCAAAAGTGGCGCTGTGACTCAAATGATGGAGCACTAGCCTTGAGCTGAAGAGCTGAGGGACAGTGCCCAGGCCCAGAGTTCAGACCCCATGACTGGCAAAAAAGAAAGAAAGAAAGAAAGAAAGAAAAAGGCAGAAGAAAAAATAAATGAGTTAGGGAAGAGTAATCTAGATGGGGTCAATTTGATCAAAGTACATTTTGTATGCATATTTGGAATGATAATAATGAAATCACTTTGCATAATTACTTACTAAAGGGAAAAATTAAGACAAAATGAAAATATGGAACATTAGCTAAGGAGTTCCACCCACCACAGCTTTTACCCTGGGTTGTCCACACTGTTTACAATTGAAGCCAAAAACTCCTAAAGAGAGCATTAATAATAATTTGGAAGAGATAGTCAAAACTCATAAATTAAGAAATGGAGGACATGTAGCATCATTGTTAAAGATTTTCATGACAGGAGATCCAATAGACATTTTAATTATGACAGAAAACTGATAAGTAACATTTTCTACCCTCAAAATACTTGACATCAATTTGATGTTATATCATTTTGAAATGGTGTCAACTGACTGTGAAAACATGTACATAGTAAAATAAAAGGTATTGGCCAATATCAGGAATTTAAATAATGATGTCATTCTGAAACTAGGGTTCATGGGCTAGGTATAAAAGTGGGAAGCGCACCATGGAAGAGATATAGGCACCCAAGTATTATAATTCTTTTTATTACATCTCCTCAGTTTTAGCCACAATTTCTTATTTATGATGATGATTAAGCAGAGTGTTTTATAATACATAATGAAAACATTTCAAGGAGCAATGATAAAATTAAACAGATTTTTTCAAAATTTAACAAACCAGTGCTCTGTTTGACTCTAAGAAGATAAAATATCATTTACTTAGAACATTGTAGGGAAAGCACTCCCAAATTCCAATTTATCGAAAGTGGCTCACCTATAATTCTAGAAGTTCAGGAGGTTGAGATCAGAGGATTGTGCTTTGAAACCAGCTGAGCAGATAAATCAATGAGAATCTTATGCCCAATTAACCAGAAAAAAGCTGAAGCTAAGATTTTGCTCACTTGAGCTGTGGGTCAAGTGGCAGAGCATTAGCCTTGAGCAAAAAAGCCAAGCAAGAGCACAAGGCTCTGAGTTAAATACCAGCACATGCATGCATACACAGATACATACAGGCATACATGCATAAAATACAGTTGATTTCCCAAGTGAGAAAAATCTGTTTGCACTAAACGGAAGGTAAATTATGGGACAAAATTCAGATTCACAGCAATAGTCTTGCTTCTGGACATAGTATAAGAATCAAATTTGCCATAAGCAGTCAAAAAGTAAGTGTGGAACAGGAGCAGGAGGCTGCCATTTCCTGAGGGCTTCCTTAGTACCAGACACTGAACTAACCACTTGTGAGTGATTCCATCTAATATTCTCACAACTGCAGGAGGTCATTGGTGGTAGTGTCCCATTTTTCAAAATCTCTATGAAATTCTAGTTCCTAAGCAGGTTGCAGGTTATCCCACGATGCATGGTTTGTAAGTAGGTGAGACATCGTATTAAGGAGATTCAAAGCTTTAACTACTCTGCACCTGCAGATGTTTGGCATTGCTTCAAGCCCTGAGGAGGGGTTGGAGCAAGATAGGCATGACCACATGCTTTCAGGCATTCTCAACCAGCCTCTCAGGCAAAGATGGTACATACTAAACCAACAGATAGAGAAAGTGCCTGAATCACATGTAAAGTTGTGTGAGGAAGGCTGGAGTAATTCAGAAAACAAGATGGCCTTAGGTGAGAAAACAGTTTAATGATAGCTCAGAGAGCTTAAAAGGATTTCATTAGCCAAAGCAGAAAGATGAGTCTAGTCCTTGTAAGAGGAGCTACATCTGCAAAAATAATTGTCTTGCTGTGGAAACATAGAATGGACGGTTTCAAACATTGTCTCCCACTGGCTTTCCTGCCAACAATGTCTAGTGTATTTTTTTTCCTAAAGCACTATAGGTCTTGTTTCTTCCATAAACTCCATGTAGTCCACAAAGGGGAATTTGTTGTATTTTTTTGTAATTCTATTTTACTGCACAAACTTGCATTTTTGTAGTTTCATAAATATGTAGAATCATTGTCTAATTTTCATCAATTCAAAATCCTTCTTTTTATAGTTGTTAAGTACACAGAGTTGCATAATAATTACCAATTCTGTCTTGTACCATTAAATAAATTTCTTTTAGTCAAGAAGTGAAATATTTTTCTGTGAGCATAGCTTGAAAACTGGTTGTAAATTATGGTCAGCTTCTAGATTACTATACTTTATTGCTCATTTTAAACCAGTGAGTTAAGGCTTTAAATTATAGAGGAAATTGTTTCCTATTAAAAATAAGAAAATATAAAAGTTGTTACAATCCCTTTGAGGATAGTACTATTTGATCTGATTGCTACAGTCTCTCCAATGAATAATTTGAGGCAAAGTAATTTTTACAGGCAAAAACTGCATTTGTATTTATTCTTTGTCAGATGTTAAAGGACGCTCAATTAAGAATATAGGCTACCAAGATTGTCTGAGATTGGCTAAG